AATTAAACATCTAAGATCTAACAACATCACAAGAAAAACCAAATTCAAAATATACAAGACCCTGATAAAACCGGGTCTTGTATATGGATCAGAGACGTGGATACTGTTGAAAAGCGATGAGAACCTATTAGGTACATTTGAACTAAAAATCCTTAGATACATATATAAGGGCTGACATATGGCGCAGAAGATATAAATTCGAACTATACACAGCATACAATGAACCTGAGATCGTAACATTAATAAAGATCGGAACGTCTGCGCTGGATGGGCCATGTTAAACGAATGTTGGAGACTGAAACGCCAAAACATATAATGAGGCAAACATCAGTAGGGAGAAGGTCAACGCGAAGACCCAAACTTAGATACACGGAACAAGTGGAACAAGATCTAAAAATACTTGAGATTACCAACTGGAAAAACAAAAGCAAGGAACAGAACAGAATGAAGGAAAATCCTAGAACAAGCCAGGACCCAGAAAGGGTTGCCGAGCTACTGATGATGATGATGATAAGTATGGTTGAGAATTAAGTACCGACTTAATAGTAATTAAACATAACTTATTTACAACTTCTAAAAGACCAAAATGTCCATATAAAGTAGATATACCTACAAAGCCACTATCACTCAAAAGACTTGCATAAAGAGTTAAAAATATTGTTATTAATAATTCTTTCTCACTAAAATGCCTACAAATCAACTTAACTCTCATAAAACACTATAAAATCTTCTACAAGCTTACCAAATATGCCAAAAGTTAGAACATTGATAAAATTCCCATTATAAACAGATGGATTACAATGAAGGTCACTCTCATTTCTACGTCGACAGTAGGGGATCATAAAAAAAAGAACAGAGCCGGAGAAAGTCGAAAGCTTACGATTGGCTTTAGAATTGACCGTCATTGAATCCCACCCATAGAGAAATAACAAATAAGAGAGTGCTTGGTTGCATACATAAAACTGGCACACTCGATGCTAGCGACCTGATAAACTACTTACTCAACTAAACGGCCAGAAAATGGAACGCGGGATATTTAAAATTATTATATTTCAGTAAAGAATCTCAGTTTACAGATAATTTTACAGCAAAGACTTTAAACTGAATTTCCTCATACTCTAACCTAAAATATATGTGAAAAATTATGTGTAACGATCTAAATATATGTTCAGAATCAAAATATGTAAATTTTATTTGTTGTTTTTAGGTTAGAGTATGCAAAAGTTCAGTTTAAAGTCTCTCCTGTAAAATTATCTGTAAAATGAGATAGAAGGATTTCTCGATGCTAAGCCATCGATATTTTCCTCATAAATTTTCAGAAAAATAGGGGACAGGAACACTGGAAAAAAAAACTACACATGTTTTATTTTTATCAATCCTCACAGGGACCCCCCACTTTCCGCATGCATGTATGGAGTGCTGATAAAACAAAATAGAAAAACATATACAGAACAATTGTTTTGAAATATAAAGTTTTGAGATATAAAACACAGATCAACACAAAATGCATGCATGTCCCCGCTCTTCTTTATTTATCTTATATTTTACAAAATGCAGATATTACAAATTTGATTAGTAGGTAGCCTAAAAATATTCAAAGAAAAATATTACACAATATACAGAGAACTTTACTAAAGCTAAAATAAATACTCTTAAAATAACAACTCTTACAATAAAGTAAAATACTTTTAGGTGATAAACAAATCGATATAACATATAAAATTTACCATTAACTATTTGACTGAAGTACCAAAGCATATTAAAAGAAAATCAATGTTGTGAACTTAAAAAAATAGTTTATTTAAATAAAGAAATGGAGAAGAGTTTAGAAAAATAGGCTAAATAAAATTATAAATGCTTCATCTTATTAATTTTCTTTTTTTGTAAATCATTTTTCTGCAAATCTCGATAACTTCTATAAACATCATCATAATATTTCCTAATTATTAAGTCTACAGACACATCTAGAAAATAATTAAACACATAATCCAAATGTTGGTTACAAGTAAACCACTCCAGAGTTACATACTTTTTTATCAAAATTTTAATTTTTTTGGACAAATGGTTTATATGTCCATTATTGACTAATACAGCAATTACAATATCATGAATTTTGGCTAAATCTACTATAAAATTTTTTGTTACATAAGCTAAACTTGATTTCTTATCACTATATTCTTTAAACATTGTAAATGTATGATGTGGTTCTAAAACATCAGATATTAAATTAGCTGCACACAGCTCACCTTCTTGAATTATTTTAATTTTTCTTGTTATATACCCAGCAACATATGCTAATGTGTTGCCACCATGACCTGTAACATCTGTATCAGGTAATGGTAGAGCTAGATGTTCTATTTCATTTACCTCTAAAAGATCTAAATCAATAAAATCATTGTTGGTGATTGAACTATCCAAAAAGTCTTGCAAATTATCCAGAATAGAGCCGTCATCTGTTTCACAATTTTTATTTGAATTAGGAGTAATTAAGTTATTAAGAACAGATGTTTTAAATGATGATATAAACTGGTAGCAATTTGGATTTATATTTTCTGCTCCTAGATGACGGATAGAAGCAAATGAGTTTTCTAAAGGATCTTGATTTAAAGAACGGGTTCTTAAAAACTTAAATCCCAGATCTCTACAAATATTCCACAACTCTTTTGTAGCTACAATAGTAGTTAACCACCCTGACTTAAAAGGCATTACCTTCTTTTTCACTTTCTCATCAATAAACATCCAGCTATTAATTTTTGGAAGAAGACGATTTCACAAAGCGAAATGAGGAGATTTATTAGACATACACCTACGATAAGGCTTTCCACATTCAGGCTTTATTGTTCTGCCATTAAAACTATCAAAAAGTTGATCTATATCATGCACAAATTCAGCAGTATCGATAGCTTGAGAAGGTATATTATTATTTGGGTTACTAACCATCTCTTCTAAAGTAGAAGCAACCGTATGACTGAGGGTCCGTGCGGCCACACACACTTTCATCTTTAACCGACTGTGATTATTAAGATGTAAATAAATCTCCCTTATCCGCCTTAATGCTTGAAACCGTTTTCTTTTGTCTATATTAAAACATTGTCTTATATGATCAATTTTTGCCATTTTTGTTTGATCAAACTGAATATGGTACTTTAAAAGAGCATTACGAGTTGACTTTAATAAATGTGGTGGGTCAAAAATTGTCAATATTTTATGATTATTGATGAAAAAGTGAGGCCCTGGTTCATCATTTTCCCTACAAAGTAATTTAATAGCGGCACGGTTTGTAGCACCTTGGTCACATATAGTACAGAGTATTTTTAAACCAGTTTCAACTTCTACCTTAGTAATTACCTGTGAAATTAAATACTTCAAATCATATGACTTTACAGTATGTTGTGTAAAAAAAATGCTATTGGTTGTTTCCAACTTTTTTGCAGACCATTAAGCATAAAAATTAATGCATGATTAGCATACTCATTTTTACGACCCAAGGGACCAAGATCTACATAACCGATTACTTTATCATTAAACTTATCAAAAACTAACTGCTGAGCCAGTGATATTTCATCAAAAACTAAGGAACAATACCTATCTAATGGTCTCATGGTTTTTACTCTTTTAGAAAGTTTCTTTAATAACTGGATATCTATTCCAGCTGCAAAAGGAACATTCGTTAAGAGCTTCTGAAGGGTACTTTTAGCTGGTAATGGTATACTACGTTTCAAAAATCTGTAACATCTAGGACCCCTTTTGTACAAAGCCAAAGCATATACCTTATCACGTATTGTCCAAGTAGGCCTTTTAACTTTACAATTTGAAAAAGCACTTTTAAAAAATGATGCAATTGAAGGGTCCATATTATCTTCTAATTCCCTAAACCTTTCACCTTTAGAAAACTCATATGCAAATTTTAATTTCTGTTTAGTAACTTTTATAGAGTTTTTTAATTTACAAATAGAATTTCTATGAGTTCGATTCAAAAAATATAACTTTTTCTTTTTAGGAGAAAGATCTTTTACTCTATTTTCATTAATTTCTTTTAAAATATGCAATCGCTTACGTTTAGATGGTGGTGTATCATACTCATTATCATACTGACTGGAAATTGACTGTTTATTATTGACTGGGTTATTAATGAATTATAATTTTGGAGAAACTATTTAAACATTACTATGAATGTGTACATCTGAAACAGAAATTTCTTCAGAAAAATGTGCAGGTATAGGCAAAATTTGATTATGAACATTGGCATTGAAAGGCACTGCATTATTCAACAGTTTTGTTTTTAAACTGCTTGTAAATTGTGTTTCCTCAAAATGATCTTCACATAAATAACGCCTAGTTTCAGTAAATTCAATACCAATAATTTCAAACCAGTTATGACGTCTTTTTAAATCTGTTTCTGGAAATCTAAAAAACTTTTTATTTTTATAATCTGGGTCTGTGACAGGATAAAAATATTTGTTATTACAAAAGGACGCTAAACACCCATGAACATATTTACCGGGTTTGGACATATTTAAGATTGCAAAATGATAAACTAATAATATTACCTACATACAATACGTCCAATATGGACGATTACAAATACCATAAATTATAAATAAACACAGAAGAACCTTTAGTAAAAAAAGAATTTTGTATATACAAATAAACATATAAACAATATGATTATGTATAACCTAAAACTCTATGCTAAAAAGTCAATGTCAACAATGTAAATTTTCATAGTACAATCAAAATACTTTATTGTACCATGGTAAATTTTAGTTTCATAAACAGCAGCGCCCCGATGTGCTACTTACCTGCGCAGAAACAAATGTGAACAATTTTCCCTATCTATTGATCAATCTCTTATTGTTATTTCTCTATGATCCCACCCATGGTGTACAATGAAGACATTGTTCGTTGTACCATGACTCCCACCGGTCTCCTAGACTAGCTGCGTCTTCATTAAATATAATCATAAACATAATAAGTAAAATAACCTTTCTTATGTTTAGATAGTTCTTCCGAATATATCTTAACTTCTTTCACAAGAATACCTGACGATAAGTATGTTTCTCTTACAAGTGGCAAAACACTAACCTATTTCAACTGGTACCAAGGCCAACCAAATGGCGGAAAAGAAGAATGTATTGCTCTATACCTAAAAAATTCTGAATTACAATGGCATGATGTGTCGTGCTGGAACAAATATTATTTCATTTGTGAAGTTGTTTGGACAAATAGAGAAGAAGAATTGTTGCATGTTTTAAATACTACGCTCCAAAAACAAATTGATATCGAGCATAATATTAGGTAAGGAAAGGTATCTCCTGTAATAGAACACTTTTTTATGCAGTTTAATTTATTACTTTAATGAATATTATATGACAAAAATAATTACTTCTAAGACAAAAAGTACTTTTGTTTTAGAAGTAACAGCTTTATTTTATTTAAAGTTCGGACAAAAAAATCATACATAGGCAATAGGTCAACAAAGGCAACCTAAATGGACAACAATAATTGTTCTTCGTACTCGTGGACTCTTGTTTGTCTGAGCATCGTGGCATATGATATATATGTGGCCTTAAAGGTCCTTGGCTCCAATAGTCTTGACTAGTTTCTTTCACTGTTTCCACTTTCTCTCCAGGTCCTTGTTCCTATTTCTCTAAGTCAGTCTGGATGACATCAAACCACTTTCTTCGTGGTCTCCATCTTCTTTTTTCACATTAATTTTATGCTTGCAGTACTCTGAAGACTTATATTTCTTTTTGACAGTTGAAAAACATTTCAGAATGATCTAAATTTATATGCACTAATTTTCTGTATTATTTTGGTTCTCTTATACATCTCCATTAGCTCCTGGTTTGTTCTTCTACTTTGTCCATTCCCCGTTAGCCTTTTTTATACCATTAAAAACTTTTCTTAAGATTTTCCATTGCCCAAGTTTCACAACACACGAACCCTGTACCATTAAACAGGGGAGTCAAACAGGGAGATACTTTATCACCCAAACTGTTCACCTTAGTTTTGGAGGACGTTTTTAAAAACCTAAATTGGAAATATAAGGGAATAAACATCAATGGCTGCTACCTCAGTAATCTACGATTTGCAGATGACATAATCCTGATAGCTACTGACCTACAAGAAATGCAAACCATGCTTGTAAAACTTTATACCGGATCTTCTAAAATAGGACTGAAAATGAATTTAAACAAAACAAAAGTCATGCACTCCGAAGACACCGTGACAATAATAAACGATAAAGTTATAAAAACAGTTGAAGAATATATATACTTGGGACAAAAAATAATCCTAAATAGGGAAATTCAGACTGAAGAAATAAAAAGAAGAAGAAAGTTAGCTTGGGCAGCATTCGGTAAACTGAACTATATACTGAGAAATCAACAAATTCAATTACATCTTAGATCTAAAGTTTTTGATGCATGCATTATTCCGATATTAACTTATGCGGCACAAACATGGACAATCACAAAAAAGAATATGAATATACCTAGAGTCACTTAACACGCGATGGAAAGAGCACTGCTAGGTATATCACTTAAGGACAAGAAAACAAACACATGGATAAGACAGAAAACCAAAGTCACCGATGTGGTGCAAAAAGCATTAAAGCTGAAATGGGAATACGCTGGACATGTAGCTAGGAGCGATCTAAACAAATGGCACAGATCAATTTTAACCTGGAGACCATACCAACACAAAAGACCCAGAGGCAGACCTCCTATGAGATGGACAGATGATCTGAAAAGGACTGCCGGGAAAAATTGGCTACAAGTAGCGTACAATAAAAAACAATGGAAAGGAAGACTTGAAGAGGCTTATGTTCAGATGTGGACGTGAATGGCTAGACGACGAAGAAGAAGAAGAAGTTTCACATCCATATAACACTGTTGGTCTTATTATTGTTTTATAAGTTCGAATATTGGCTCTCTGGACACGTTTTTTGTTTTAAAAAGTGCATTTAATTATTCTAGTGCTTTGCTACCTATCAACAACTGTTTATCAATTCTTATCTCTCTTCTTCTTTACGTGAAATTTTCTACGACGTAGGTTGGCAATCATCATGGCTATTCTTATCTTAGATGCTGTCGTTCTGAATAGTTGATGTGCATCCGTACCATTCCCTCAAGTTACGCAACCATGAGATTCTTCTCCTCACTACACTTCTCTTGCCTTGGTTTTTCCCTTGTATGATTAATTGAATTATGTTTTATCCTTCATTACGCATAACGTGCCCCAGGTGTTGCAGCTTTCGTGTCTTGATGATTTCCAATATTTCTATCCCGTAAAGCAGAGTTGAGAAAATATAACACCTTGCCAGCCTAACTCTCAAGTCTAATTTCAGTTCTCTTGCACAAAATACCTTTCTCATTTTATTGAGGTTTGTTCGTGCTTTCTCTATTCGAACTCTGATTTCTTTGGAGTAATCGTTTGTGTGATTAATTATTGTGCCAAGGTAATTGTAGTTTTCAACTTATTCTAAAGTTTTACCGTTAACTGTCAGGATTTCATCCTTATTTTGGGTTTTTGATAACCTCATAAATTTAGTTTTCTTGATGTTTAATAATAATCCATATTCTTCTCTATACTCAACTATCTTGTTCATTAGTCTGGGAGGATGTCTGCTATTATGATAGTATAGTCCGCATATTTATTGTTGTTAATGGGTTGACCATGACATTCTTCTCTCCCCCCCCCCAGTCTTGACGTACGGAGCAGAAACACTTACCTTAACAAAAGCCGAAGCTATCAAACTGAGAGTCACGCAGAGAAGAATGAAGCGGTCCGTGTTAGGAATAACTGCGAGACAGAATAACCAACGAAGACACCAGGAGAAGAACCGAAGTGACTGACATCATCGAGAAGATAGATAGACTAAAATGGAGATGGGCAGGACACATAGCCAGAATGACAGATGGGCGATGAACAAAGAGGTTATTGGAATGGAGGCCAAGGGAAGACAAGAGAAGCGTCGGTCGACCACCTACAAGATGGACTGACGATTTGAGAAGACTCAATAAAAACTGGATAAGAGCGGCGCAAGATAGACAGGGTTGGAAACACGAGGAAGAGGCCTATATTTAGCAGTGGACTTTTGAGGCTGGATGATGATAATGACATTCTTCTACGGCCTGGATTCCATTTTCCTTCTATTTTTCCTTTGAAGTGATGCATATTTATGTCCTCTCATCAGGTGACCCAAATATTCGAGTTTTCTTCGTTTTGGGTGTTTTCCTATCCTTCGTATTACTTCAAAGTTTTTGACTCTTTCAACCCAACTTATCTTCAGCATTCGACAGTAGCACCACATCTCGAAACTTTCAATTGTTGTTCCATTGACCTTTATTCCTGCTCTTTCTCCTTCAAGAGCTCTTTTCATAATTTCTTGTGAAATTATGATGAAAATTCAGTATGCAATAAATAGTAGTGGTGACAATACACACCCCTGTCGCACTCCTCTTTTAATTTCGAATTCTTCTGATATGTGTTCATTAATCCGTATGTGTGTCTGCTGTTTATAATATAGACTTGTTATAATTCGAAGGTCATTGTATTGTAATTGTTTTGCTTTGAGGACGTCTATTAGCTCTTTGTGGCGGACTTTATCGAAAAGCTTGTAATATAATTGAAACAGACGTACATTTCTTGGTTCACATCCAAGCATCTCTGGATTAGTGAGCTTCACTGGTACCTACTCCTCTACGGAATCCAAATTGGGTTTCTTCAATATTTATATCAAGTATTTGGTAAATGCGTTTATGGATAATCTTTAAAAACATGTTAAGTGTGTGAGACATCAGGCTTATAGTGCGGTGGTCGGTTCATTTTCTAGCATTTTTTTTTTTTGAGAGACAAATAAATGTTGAGGTCAACCCTTCATTTGGTATACCACCCTACTGATAAATTTTATTAAAGAGCTTTAAGAGCACATCCATGTTCTCATTTTTTATTATTTTAAGGATATCAATAGGCAGTTGATCTGGTACTGGGCTTTATCCGTTTCTGGTGTTCTTCATGCATACAATATTTCTTCCTTTGTAATTTCTATACTTGTTTCCCTGTCCTAGAAAGATATGTCTTGTAGGTTTCCCTGGTTCGTCGTCGAAGAGTTCTTCGATATATTCTTTCCATTGTTTTAGCTTTTCGTCAATCGTTATTATAGTATTTCCATTTTTATCTAGAAGAGTTGTGTTGTGGTTTCCTTTTTGCAGCCCTGCCATTTCTTTAACCTTTTAATGTATGTTGAATAGGTCCTATTTGTTCTGAAGATCTATATCTTTACATTTTTCCTCATAGTAAGTTTCTTTTGCCTCTCTTATCATTTTTCTGATTGTATTGTTAATAATTTTGTAATTGTGACTGTCTTTGTTCCTGGTTGTCTTCTTTGATTCATTCTGCCGAGTATTTCGTCGGTTATCCAGTTGTCTCTCTGTCTTATCGATTCTTTTAATATCCCTTTGCATGGAATGAGGAAGCAGTTTTTTAATGTTTCCCATTGTTGGTTTATCTCGTAGGTGTTAGTATCTAATTTGTCAAAGTTTTCGTATAACTTCTGTTGGAGTTTGTTTTTTATATCAGCTTCTTTCAATTTTCTAACATCTAATTTTGGGGTTCTTTGAGGTTTTCTAATACGTTTAAGCTTAAGTCTGACATTAGCGATTAATGGGTTATGGTCTAATATCATATCTGTTCCTGGATATGTTTTAACTGATTTGATGGGAGTTACGAGATCTCATTATATTACCGATTTGATTTCTTCCCACTTTTTCCGGTTTATCTGCTGTTGAACGACACGTATATAATATAGGCATAGGTAGTTTAAAGAACGTGTTTGTGATTATTAGACTTTGTTCTTGGCAGAATTGTATTAGAAGATCTTCTCTATCGTTACGTGTTTCTAGTACTTGATCTCCCATTATTGTTCCAGCTCTTCTCTTGCCGAATTTTGCATTGAAATCGTCCATAACTAATGGTATTTCTCTGTTCATCTCTATTCATCTGTATTCTCTGCTCATAAGTACTTCATCTTTGTATTCTATATTTGTAGAATACAAAGATTGCAATGGGCCGGACATGTGATACGAATGGGAGAGGATAGGCTACCAAAACGAGCACTGAACGCCAGAATGCAGGGAAAGAGACCAGTTGGAAAGCCAAGAAAGCGCTGGGAAGACACAGTAAGCAGCGACGCACAAGCACTTTTAGGAGTCCGTGTATGGAGAAGAGCAGCCACAGACAGACAAGGGTGAAGGCAAAAAATAAAGGAGGCCAAGGCTCATTTTGGGCTGTAG